GGGGGGGGGAGGGGGATTGCGGAGAAGGTAGAGCAAATTTACTATATATAAGCTGAAATTAGACCAATGTGGAGATTTGTAATATGGCCATTAATTTGGCTTCTTCTCAGGTGGGGGCCAAATTTTCATGACATCTGCCATGATATAATATCCACTATAACAAAACTTGTGGATCATGACATTTGCCATGACATAATATCCACTATTAGGCAAAGAATTTCTTGCTATAAATAGAGGAGATTCTCCTCATTTGTAAGCACACCAATTCAAGAGCTTTTCACTCTTGTCTTTCTTTCTCCTCCTTTATTTCATTATAGAGTATTTTGTAAGAGAGTGAGTATTGGGAAACACTTGTGTGAACACTTTCTTTGGAGTGATCTTGTGAGGTTATTCTCTTGGAATATTTGGGACTAATTAGAGTATTTACTCTAATTTTGTACTCTTTTGTACCCTTGATTGGTATAGTGAAATTGCTCCTCTCCGCTTGTGGACATAGGTCACCTTGACCGAACCACGTTAAATTTGTGTTTTCTTTATCTTGTTTAATTGCCGTTATTATCAACTTGCATTGTATTTGTTATTGTAATTATAACATTGTTTGGCTAAATTCCGTACTACCCGATTTACCGATCCTAACATATATATATATATATATATATATATATATATATATACATATATATTTGGAATTAAAAATGATTGAGTCGTAGGAAAATAATTCATTTAGAGAAGAAACTGTTTAGTGTGAATACTAGAGTGCCCTCTCTTGTCTTGACGTTATGTGAATTTGTTTAATTATTCTAGTAGAAAGTTCTTTGATTCCGTACTGAATTTTTCATACGAAAATAATCCAGTTGTATTTTTCACATGAAAAAAAAAATAGTAGTCACAATATATTTATATGTATGTATGTGTGTGTGTGTAATTTCTTTTACCTATTTACACAGTTGAATTTTCCAGGAAAAGAGTCAAAACTCGAGACCTGACTACTATATTTTTTTTCATGTGGAAAATACAACTGGATATTTTCGTATGAAAAATTCAGTACGGAATCAAAGAACTTTCTACTAGAATAATTAAACAAATTCACATAACGTCAAGACAAGAGAGGGCACTCTAGTATTCACACTAAACAGTTTCTTCTCTAAATGAATTATTTTCCTACGACTCAATCATTTTTAATTCCAAAATGTTCCTCCCAACATGGAAACATAGATAAATTTTGACTTTGTTGAAATCTTAGCCGTGTTTCCAACCAACAATATATATAATGTACTATAATCCTTTTCCAAACGATAGCAAAGTCACTGGTTTATATGATGACTAGAACAACCAAATAATATTCAACATGTGATGTTATGTATGATTATGGATTGATAGAAATAAGTTACATAATTAGACTTTAGTTACACTTAATTACACGTGTTATTCAATAATTTTATTACTTAAACAAGTGTATTTCATGCGCCGGTTCGTATGAACACATGTATCTTTAAGACAAACTTTTATCAAGTAGTAGAATTGTTTATCTGATCACTAGCTAAGTTAAGTATCTGACTTACAAATTAAAACGTCCCAAGTTTAAAGGACTATCCTCGTATTTGACCTTATATTAAAAGTAAATGAAACCGGAAAAAATCTAAAAAGGAGAAGATAACTCAGTAGGCAATTGTTATTGGAATAATAGGAAATCCATGACATTGTGATAGGACATGTCTAGAATAGTAAGGTCAAATTTGAGAGTATTCTTCTTTCATTTTTCCAAAAGGACATTTAAATATAACTTTACTACCAATCAATGTTTTATAATTAAAATATTTAAGAAGTGTTTGAAAAATATAAGTCAAAATATTGGACTTTTACATATAATAATAGTGTAATATAAAAAAGTGACAGAAATATTATTGTTTTAACCGAAACAAACAATAATTATCTGATGGAAAATTTCTATTAATAAAAGACATTTTTCCGACATGAATTATATGTAGTACCAAGTTGGAGGTAAAGTAACCTAACTTTTGCTCTTATATAGTGTTTTCGTGCACAAAAAAAATGATTGGCACCAAAAAATAAGACAATATAAGAGATTTTTGAAAAAAAAAAAAAACAGAGAAGAGAGACAGAGACAAAGTTCCCTAATTAAATGAAGCTTGTTTAATTTGTCCATCTTTTAATATAAACTTCATTTCGGTGTCTTTTTCTTCTTCTCATCAATGCGGATGAAACGTTAATTTATTAAATTAAAAAAACGTTAATTTGTCCCTCACACCTACAGACGAAATAAATCGCCATAAATGCCACATTATATGTAACAGCTCCTCAATTGGCTCGAGTTTTGAATTTATTTTAAAAAATTTATTTAATATGTATAAATAATTTATTTAGAATATAATAAGTAAATTATCTTTTCTCTGCAGCAACTATGATTTGTGTTATTAGTTGTCGGAAATTCTCACAAGGCGATTGAACTCCCTTTTCCCACAGCCTACTAATCCTCTAGATGCAGAGACTGAATTTACATTATGTAAAACTCTTCATGTTCTTTTATGATGAAAAATGTGCTCTTTTCAACACTATATAGGCTACTACTTGGATTTTAGGAGGACTTTAAGCAGTAGCGAAGTCAGATATTTCGCGAAGGGTATTCAAAATTTAATATACACATAAAAAATATTTTTTGATCTACATATACAATATAAGTTTCTATACACATACTTTTTCAACGAAGGGTGTTCGATTGACCACCCTTCAATACATGTGGCTACGGCCACTGAAGTCTTTATACTATAGTCCTCCTCCTAAAGCTATAGAGGGTGTTTAGATTGGCTTAAAAGCACTTTTGGGCTTATTTGAGTGTTTAGATAGAACATAAAATTGCTTTTAAGCCAAATGCTTTTAAGCTGAAATACTCAAAACAAGCTAAAAGCAATAAGTTGTGATTGCCCAACTTATTTGTTTTTGGCTTAAAAGCTTCGTATGTTTGACCAAATAATTTACCCTACTATCCCTTTCACTTTTCTAAACCCCAAAACTACCCTTCCCTTACAAATTAAATTCTCGTGTCAGTTCTAATCACCATTTTTAATCTTGTCGTTGCTGCTGTCATTCTCAAAAATTTGTCAATTTCGTGAAGTTCTTAACGTGAAGCAAACAGTAATTTTTTAAATCAATGTTTGATATATTCCAATATTTTGTAAATATTATTCTTTTAGTTTCTTTTTTGGTTCCATAATATTTAATTTTTTTGGTCGTTGAATCCTTCCTTTTTTTAATTGGTGTAACTATATTCTAAATCAAATCATTTGATGAGTTTATATGTTACCACAGAATTTGAAGCTATGAACGAAAAAAATTACTTTTTGACAAATAATCAATTATTGCATGTTATTTAAATGAATAATTTATATTTAGACAATCAGTTTAAATTAAAAATGAATTAAATTATAAATTGTAAATTATTTGTATATGTGTCAACTTAGAATAAAATATTATCGTAATCGTCTTCATTATAATGTTAATAACTTTAAGAATATTTCATTCATTTTAACAGAAAAAACTGCTTACCAGCACTTGTTTAGCCAACACTTCAATATTATTTTTTCCAATTTCAGCACTTTTATCCAAACACGTAACTGCTTATTTATAAAACAAGCTCCAACACTTAAAAGGTGCATGCTTTTAAACACTTATATTTAAAAGTACTTTTTTAAACCAATCCAAACGGGTTCATAGTCTATAGCAAATGAGTTAACGAGTTAATTGACATCATTTATGGGTGGCCCGACCCAATAATAAATTTTCAACAAATGGAATAAATCACAAATGAAATTATATAAAAGTGGCATATAATTCCAAGTTTGAGGCTCAAGAAATAAAGCAGACTTATATGAACCGACAACCCCGTCCCTTTTGGCCCAAACATGAGGAGGAAAGAAACTACACCCTGCTTGCTGTTGCTGATTATTTTTTTCATAAATTATTTGCCGCAGAATATAATTTTGTAAATTATTCCCATTTTGTTTGAATAGTTGTTATGTATTGTATCATATTGTATCGTTTTGATGTATATAATATTTGAATAAATTGTATTATTTGTTGTCATTTTATGATATCATGCACCATTAATATAAAAAATAAACGTGTAATATTACAAAGAAAAAAGTAAGGTATGAGGTAAAATCATTATATAAAAAGGTAAGGTAAATGATAAAATAGGATTATTTAATATTAAGGAAGGACAAGATTAAAAAAAAAATTAATCACAACACTTTTTATCGTTACGTAATGATAAATTTGATAATATGATAAAATAAAATTTAAGTAACAATTAAAATAAATATTATTTAAAGTAACAATATAATGCAATACAATGTATAACGATCCTCCGATAGGAATAAATTCAAAGTTCTTGTGATTACCGTGTAATTAATAAGACATCTGTGACTATTTGACTTGACGACCATGGTCATTCGTCAAGTTCCCAATAAAACCAAGACAGGAAATTTATAACCGTAAACATTATTATTACCTCTTTGTTTTTTTTCTTCACAAATAGCAATATATGCCACCTCTTCATTTTCTTTCTTCTATTTATTTGACCCTTTTTGGGTTCTTCCATTTCATCATTTTCTGCTCTTTTCTTTCCCTTGTCTCCCCTTTGTCCCTTTTACTTTATTCTCTTGTCTACCAATATCTCTCTGCCGTTCTTCTTATTCTTGTTGCTGTTGCAGAGAATAAATTCTGTTTTTTTTTTCAGCTTAATTTCATGGCGGTTATGCCTGAAAACTCCACTTGTTTAGAGCTCACCATTTCTATTCCTGGCTCTTCTTCTTCCTCATCTTTCCCTTCTTCTGGTAAGCAAAAAATATTGAAAGTTTTTCCTTTTTTTTATCAATTCACGAACATTTTTATTCTATTTTCATCTCCCTAAGGTTTAGGGTTTCTTGCATGGTACTTTGTCTGATTACTGAAGTTTCTTTTTTTCTTTTGCTGTTTTTTTAATTATTACTTCCTTAGTCTCAAAAAAATTATTTTAGTTTGATTTGATACAAAGTTTAATAAAGAATGGAAGACTTTTGAGATATATAGATGTAAATAAATCATAACATTTGTGTAGCGGTTAAATCTTTGAAACTTGTGATCTGAAACATATTATATCATTTGTGTGGTTATAAATCCTTCTTATTAAGAAAATATTTAAAGGTGTCAATATTTTTATAAACAATCCTTTTGAAATGGAGGGAGTATTTGTTTTCCCCAGTATATGAGTATTGGTTTGATTTTTATTGTTTTTAATTGATGAAGGTGAAGGGGGTGGTTATAATTTGATGAGAGAGCTGGATATAAATCAGGTGCCCTCAAGTGGAAATATAAATGAAGAAGAAATTAGCATTGAAGAAGAAGAAGAGAGCTGTAATATTAATGTAGTAAATGGTGGCCGTACAAGAAAGAAACTCCGTTTAACAAAAGAACAGTCTTTTCTTCTTGAAGAAAGTTTCAGACAAAACCACACATTGAACCCTGTAAGAATATATATCATCATCTCCATTTCTTCTTTTGTTTTTTTTTCTTCCTTTTGTTGGGTGTTTAATCTCTTCAATTTAGTGTAGTTTTTAGAGTTTAGTTCTACAAATAAAAAGTATCTAGATGTTCAACGTCTATTTTTTGATCAATAACAAATAATATTTATCCAATACATAGTATAATTTTTCGACAAAAAGATGTTCAATTGATCACACGTATCTTCACCACTGTATGTAATCAGATCACTTGTAAAATAGTTATAAGTAAATTTCCGTGGTAAGCATTAACCACTAACCTAATAAAATTATATATACTGGTAATTTAAAATTATTTTTTATACAATTAGTTTATACAATTTAAATTCTTAGTATTGCTTTGTCCTTCAACTTCCTTCTTATTCATAGCTATCTATAATAATAATAATGGTAAATGCAGAAACAAAAGGAAGCATTGGCCATGCAATTAAAGCTTAAGCCAAGACAAGTGGAGGTTTGGTTTCAAAACCGTAGAGCAAGGTACGTTCTTAGATTGTCCACTTTTTCAGTAGGATATTTATTACTCTGAACTCCTCTCCTTTTTATCACTTAAACCAAAAATTTGGTCAAACTATTTGTCACTTAAAAAAATAAAATTAAAGGACTTTAATTTTGGTTTTCTAGTTCAGCCGTTACTATTCCTAGAAGATATATTGTCATTAATTCATTCATGGTGTTGGTAGTTGAGATGAGATCATGGCAAGGAACATTAATTCCTTTTTCATCAATTTTATAGCTTACTAATTAATACCAATAATTTATTATAGAGCTCGTGACACAGAATAAGAACAAGTACTGGTATTAAAACCAGGATCAGATTCTATCCCATTGTTCTTCTTGCTGATCTTGCTTTCTGAAAATAGAAAGCGATAGTTCATTGTATAATGCTAACAGAAGGCAAATATCTGAAAACTTTTAAGAACTAAAGTAAACTAATTAAGGCCCACCTCCCAAAAGGTCATGGGGTTGTTCGGGGAGGAGGTAGAATAGGAGCTACGAGTTCCGCCTAATCCAATGGCTTTGGTGTAAATTATGTATTTGTCTTAAGAAATACATTGATTACGGATTCACATAAACCCATTAAATTTTGCTTATATTTTGTATATATATATATATTAAAAACCTTACTAAATATTTATAAAATACTCTATTTGTTTGCGAACTCAATTATTGTATCAGTATTAATATTAATTTGAGGTTGTAGTAGAAATTAAAAAATTGAGTCTACCTCTGTAAAGGTGGAGTAGTTCAAAGGTCAATTAAATGCAGCTGCTAATAATGTTGGAAAATACGGGACAGACACGCAGGTAGCTATTTATTAAAGTCCATGAGTAGAATTCATGACTTTTTATGTTAAAGAGTAAAATAAGGTTCCAAAAGTCAGCATGTGTTATATACCATACGATCAACTACTATTCCCTCGAGTATATATATTTATTTATTTATGGCTAGTTTTATCATAAATTCAGAATACCGTTAAAGAAAAATAAAGTGAGGATGTGCATATATTTTTAAGTCATAATTCCAGATGCGCACGTAACACTAATATTACAATTGCTATATGGTGTAAAATCAATCTTCATGGATAGATATTGTCGGAATGTAACAAAAGCTCATAAGCATGTACGTACATTCGCTTCTCAATATTGGTTATAAAAAAAAAAGCTTATATGCACTCATAATTTAACAATTCTTTTCACTATCTAACTGTATTCCGATTATGGTAAGTTATGTACTGTATTTTTATGTTACCAAATCAAGATTATTATTGGCAATTTCATGTCCTAGTTGATATACCGTTAGGAAGTTAATTAAACTGTTATAAAACTTGGTGCTTGTATAGATATTCAGGAGCAGGAAACATAATTTTTAAGGAAATCAGTTAGTGGGAACAAACTCCAGAAAATTAGGGTCACAAATGAGTTCAAAAATATTTTAAGGAAGAGGATTTTAATCAAAGGGTCATTATCTTCTCTTTAATCACCTAAAAGTCATGTTTGAAAAATACTCAGCCTGGCAAGTTTAACTAAGCAACTTCAATATTGAGAAAATGGCAAATTTGATTATTTTGTATGCCAATATATTAGATATCTCTGCTGATTTTTAATGCACCTGTTTTAGTCTGGGATTTTCCTTCTGTTCTTTTTGTGATTTCCCTTTTAGAGCAGTAAGTAAGAGTAGTCGGTCAATTTGAGCATTTAATTAGTCAATTGTTAAGAAAATATAGCATTTAGTTAGTCCAATATTCCGGGCCATGCATATAATATTGTGCCACAAAACAGTTTTGTAGATCAATTTTTTCAGGTGTTAGCCATAATGTCTCTCATGCACGTGCATTTAAAGTTAGAATAAAGATTTATTATTGCATTAATTCCTTTATAAATATCCAACAGTTTCTTCTTTTAAGACGTGCAAAAAGTGTAGTTACTCTATTACTACACTACTGTTCCTTAAGCAGCATCAACTACGTAATAACTTCCCAGGACCAGATCACTAGGAAAAAATGAGAAAAAAGTAGTTTCCTTTTTTTTTTGAATAAACATTGCAGTAGTCTAAGGTCTAATAACTCTACTGAGAAACTGTGAATCCTTGAATTTAGAGAAAAGGTTCGCTTAAATCTTCAATAATGGTTCTATCAGGGCACGTGAATTCTAAAATAGGCTGGAAAATCATTCTGTTGATGTTTGGGAATTCTAGGCTGTTTTCTTACCCTAAAATGAACTATATATATGTTTCTATTAGAAAGTAAGATTCAAAGTCGGTATTTCTATATTTTTTATTCTTTAGTTTTTATTTTGATAATTATGGTGTCCGGATCTATTACCTCACACTAGGTAATTCTGTCCACCAAGGCCAGACATATGGTAAGAAATCACCTAATATTTTTGTCGCACCTACCCTTAGAGTACGAGGGTCACCAACCCCCAGTAACTTCAAAAAAAGTATATATANCCTCAAAACTTAGGCAGTTGCATTAGTTGATTTGAGGGACACAACTTGACTTGTAGTGCACCACTTTTAATAGTGATTGCCCCACTACTTTCAAATCTTGGGTCAGCCTCTAGCAACTGGTTTTTGAACCTAAGACCTCATAATTCTCGATCTACTTCATTGACCACTAGGCTATACCTTTAGGTGTAATCAATATTTTTATACTAACATGTTAATAAGTTACAAAAATAAGTTTGTTGTTTAGTCATAAACTCATAGTATTTGCATTATTTGTCTTTATACAGGAGCAAGCTGAAGCAAACGGAGCTGGAATGTGAGTACTTAAAGAGATGGTTTGGATCATTGACCGAACAAAACCGAAGACTGAAAAAAGAAGTGCAGGAATTAAGAGCCATGAAAGTAGACCCGCCAACAGTGTTATCACCCCACAGCTGCCAGCCGCGCCCCGCATCCACCCTCACTATGTGCCCTCATTGCGAACGCGTTACTGCGACTATTATCAAAGACGAATCCAAAATTTAAAATTAGTGAATTATCCTTTTTTAATATATATTTTATATTTTGTTTTTGCATATATTTATAGTATGATCTTATTATTATATTCAGAAACAATAGGTTAGTTGGGGAATTTATTGTGAAGAGTTAGATCGACCATGGTTGTGGACAAGGTTGGTCCTACAAATGGCACCATTAACCCTAACTTGTCTGCTAAAGTAACATAGCCATTTCTTCAGACCCGACATCCGTAGCTTGCTAGTCAGCTTCTTTCATAATTCTGTTGTAATGACTAATGACGATAATTTGATCATGTTGATATAGTGGCATGATAGCTTTATATATACATTGTACTGAAGTGAAGATATTTGGCTAAATTTGGTGCTTCTCTGTTTACCACATTGATAATCTAATGCTATAGCAAATCCTAAGGATTTGACTTAGGGATAATTAAGAGGGTGTTTGGCTAAGCTTATAAGCTGGTCAAACTAGCTTATAAGCGCTTTTCTGCTTATCTACGCGTTTGGTAAAGTTAAAAGTGTTTATAAGCCAAGTACTTATAAGTCAAAAATAAGCCAAAAGCCATAAGTTGGTCATCCCCAACTTATGAATTTTTAGCTTATAAGCACTTTAAGTTTGACCAAGATTTTTAC